CTACAATACGGTATCCTGGGAGATCCCCGATCGTTATTATTGGTGCTGAGGTGTATTTCATTTCCGTATATACCTTGTTTCTGTATAGTTGCTATTGTTTGTACATCTTGTGTTAGTTTATTGCTGTACTTATTTATACGGTTCTATTCTATATTGTTGATCTTTATATTCTATTTAACCTCAGTAGGGCCCTGACCTTCCTCGTCACTACCGAACCGAGGATAGGCTTGGCACTTACTGAGTACCGCTGTGGTGTACTCATGCCTCTTCTGCGCATGTTTTTCATGTGCAAATCCAGGTACCGCTTCTCAGGCCTACCATCCTTGAGGGAGGTGACTGCTTTAGAGACTTCGAGGTACATCTGCCGCGTCCGCAGACCAAGGAGTCCCTTTCTATTCCTGCTTTTAGTATTTAGCCCTTCTATATTTTTCTGTTCTTATTAGACATCCCGGAGTTAGAGCTATGCAGTATTTTTCTTAGCTTGTGATTCGTGGGTTTTCGGGTCTTGGATTTACGTATCGGTATTGAGAGTTAAACGTGGTGTATGTCGAGTGGCACATTTAAACACTATTATTACTTTATCCTGTTTTAAATTGTTTTACTTTTGCAAATTTTGGTTTTTCTTCCACAATTTATGCTTACCTAGTCGCAGAGACTAGGTGCCGTCACGATGGTTCACGGAGGGCGAACCGGGGTCGTGACAGGTATTTAAGAGAAAATCTTAGAACATGATATCTAGGTGAGCAGGGATTATACGCCATGGATTAGGACCAGGTGTCAAAGACCTATTAGTTTGCCTATTAATTTTATACTTGTTGAATGCGAGCAGTCTTAAATAACAAAGCGTAGTTTTATAGCTGCAGAATTTTAATCGCCCTATAGGCTTGCCTAACCGCATAATAGTGGTGGTCCTAAGAGTATGATATCTACATTGGTTAAGGAAGTAGTAAAACAGTGGACAATTTTTTAAAACGAACAATTTGAGATCCTATAGACATTTTTCTAGCGGTATTAATTTAAGGCAGTATTTGAAAACTTATTAAGAAACGGACAGATTAATTAACCAATTCAGAATGAACAAACATGAATTAAACTGATTTATTTAACTAAATTTGTTTTGAGTTCTATAGGCATAATTTCTATTAGAGCTGATTTTAATTCCTATAGGCATGATATCTAATTATAAGGCCATTTAGATCTTATAGGAATGGTCTCTAATATTGTGGAAGTAAAGCAAATATAGCAAGTACATTTGAATTAACACAACCCTATAGGCATGGTATCTACCCGATTTAACCAACATATATATAACTACCCACCCCTTTTTCACTAATCACCCCAATGTTGTTTACAATAGTTATTACAGACCAATGGATTAAAATACATAAATGAACAGAAGTTAATCTATAGGGAGCCTATAGTAGGCCTAAATGACTTCCAAGCCTCAAATGCCAAAGTTCCATAGACATATCATGTCTAGGTGTGTCAGAGTTCGCTAAGGACCTCAAGGATCCCAGACAGTGCTCACACCTAGACCTTTTCTCAAACTATAATTGATTTAGGTGCAGTGTGAAAAGGCCAGCTCTGACATACCAGAGTTCAGAGAGACCTCAAAGGGTCTCAAGGCAGTACACATCAGAGTTGCAGAACCTATTATTCTAAGAGTGATATAAGAGTGCATAATAACTTTGAAAGAGTTTGGTAAACATAGAAAGAAGGTCTTAGTAATAGAAAGAATTTTATGAAAATCAGAACATAGTTAGAGTAGGAATAGTTTGAGAAAACATGAAGAACATTTTTAAAACAAACAGAAAGCAAGTCAGAGAACACACAGTTTCAGAACAGAACACACAAGGGAAAGAGGTAGGGGAACACCTAGAATGCACCTTAGTGATGGCAATCAAATACACAGATTGTAGTTGCAAAGTTAAGTTGAGAACACATAGGTTTAAGATACAAATAAGATCTCAATAGTGAAATAGAGCAAACTGGACTAGACAAACACTCATGAAACATTCATGTTTTTTAGAAATACTAATCATATACAGAACATGCAGGATTTGGTCATGCTGTGTGAAATTATAAGCACACAATGCAGCTTGGGACATGCTAGTGAACCAATTATTTAAAGCAGGATTGGCATGACAAACAGTATAATAGCTATGAGCTTAAACATGCTTTGTGATACAGTAATCTAGGCATGTTGATTGCATATTAAGTAGAATATCACATAGAACTGGAAATCACAAATTGATGAACTGCAGCAGCAAAGGAAACACATAGTGTGGAATGTGAATTGAATCAGAACATACCAGTTAAGGAGAGTATACAGAATATAGAGTAGAGATGATGCCAGTAGCCGGCCTTGGCTTACAGCTGGCTGGACTAATAAGAATTGCAAGGAACGGGAGAGAATATAAAGCTTTTGAGAGTATAATAGTGTAGATGAACTAGTTTTTTTTGTTCAGAAAGTAAAATAAGAGGGGGTTTATATAGTAATCAAAAGATTAACAAATAAGGTAAGAGATCAATTAAGTAGCAAATCAGGAAAGTCACATGTAAATCAGCAAGTCTTTCCCTTAATCAAGGGACAATTTAAATCAACGTTAAAATCGAGCTAAGTATTTAAGGAAAAGAATCAAGTAAGGTTTAGTATAGAGTAGGTAATTAGGGGTAAATGAACAGAAGTATTAATTAAGGAAACAAATCAATAAGAATCAGCAAAATACAAACAAGGCAAAGGAAAATTAATTAAGGCAAGCAATTCAATCAAATTGAGTAGAGAGGTAAGAATCGAAAGTTTAAGGGAAAGCGTTCAAATCAAACCAAGAAATAAGGAATTCAGAATAATCAAGGAGAAAGTCATGAAAGAGTTAGCATGTTTAACATATAAAATAAGGTAGAACATGAATAGTCAGGATTCCTTCAAGGAGAATGTTACAGGTCCTAACGTGCATAGTCACGATAAACACAAGCACATAGAATCAGTGAAAGGTCAAACTAAGAAATTTAATAGAAGCATAGTAGGGCAAGAAAGTCACGAGAAATTACAAGAACCCAAAGTAAGAACTAGTCGATATGCTAGTACTCAGAAACCAAATGAAGAACATAAAAAAGAATTAGGGCTTCAGTACAAACGAGCTAAGGTTGTAGCAGACTTACAAAATCAGTCAAAATATATGAGAAGCAGACGGTTAAACACAAAAAGTCATCAAATAATTTGTAAAAAGAAATTTCGGAAATCCTAGTTTAGGAAAAAATGAAAATCACTTGAAAATCATATGATTCTTGTAAAGAATCTTAAGGTTATTGTAAAACTCACATGAAACAAAGCCAAATCATCTTAGATCTGTACAGATCTAAGAGGTTTAGAAAAAAAATTAGGGTTTCGAAGAGAACCATACAGAGGTGAAGAAACCTGCTTAGAAAACTATAGATCGTAGTCAATATAGGACGATCTTACTCGAAATCACACTGAAATGACCTGAAATAGGCGAGAGAGGAACCATAGATGCAAGCCAACTAGCCCTGGTCCCTTGAGGGCCCTGGAGATGGCAAGATTAATGTGAGGGAGGCCATTGGAGGCCTGAGAGGTTGTGAGAAATCATCAGAGATGGCCATGGATGAGGGTCAGTGAGATTATTAAGGTTAGGTTTTGAGAGCGTTTGAGAGCAGAGAGGGGTTTCAAGGCGGCGGGTAGTATGAAAGATAGGGTTTGGGGGGAGGGGGGTCTTTTGGGTTTATTTTAGGAATGGTCGTTTGTGGCCGTTGATCTTTATGACAATGGTCGAGATTAAAAGGTTTTGGGGGTAGCTGGGGTTTGGGCTAGGTAATTTAATTGAAATTGGGCTGGTAATTGGGTTAGGTTGGGGCTGAAATTAAAAATAAAAATAGGCTAGATTTTAAATAGCCACTTTTAATTGTTATACAATTTATAAAAAATAATAAATGATTACAAAAAATATTTTTGTATACTAATATGATTTAAAATAGTTGTTTAATATTTTAAAAATATAAAAGATCATTTTGTGCCTCAATAATATAATTATGCATTAGTATGGCTAGTATTGTAAAGATATGCAATTTAACCTAAAAATGTAAATGAAATTATAAAAAAAATGCACTAAAATGTTTAAATAATATTTTTGCATAAATAAAGAATTTAGATGACTGAATGACCACACAAAAATTTTAAAGATAATTATTGGAAATTTTATAAATAAAAAGGGAAAAAATAAATTAATTTGGAGCTTTTATAAATTATAGAAAAATTATAAAAATGCTTATGCATGCTTATAACTGCATATGTGCTATTTTGAAAGTATACATATATGATAAAACATATGAAAAAAATTGGGTATCAACATATACTATAACAACTATATATATAGTTAAAGTATTACAATGAAGTGTCTCTTGTTCACACCCAATTTTGTCCTCCTATACCCGAATTTGTCATACTGAGCTGCTATTTTAACTTTAAAAGGTCATAATGATAGTTTTAATATTTTTATCTTAATTCGAGTATTATAAGTTCATCCTTTACCTTTATTATATTTTTTGCTACATATTTTATTCGTTAAATTAATAGTTTCCCTTAACATAAGGCATTATAATTTATTTTTAAGTATATTTATGTAAAGGTGTATTTATTTAAATATTTATTTCCGCCTCACATATTTTATGCAAGTATTTGAATTACCTTTTGTTAATTATCTTCTTTAAATTATATTGTCATTATTTATAGTGTCATCATTGGCGTTGTTGTTATTGTTATTGTTTTTACATTTTTTTAAAAGAATTTTTCTACATATTAGCAACTTTTTCAAAATATAAAGCATTTACAATTTATTTTTAGCTTGATCAAATATTTTATAAAATAGGATTTGTTTTTCAATTTCTTGTATTTTATTTATTAATTACCATTCCCAGTTATTTTATTACTATGTCATTCTACACTTTACCCAAAATTCCCTAAGCCTAATCTCAAAAATTATTCCAAATCTTCTTCCCCAATTTCCCGTCAACCCCATCACCGAACATCGGTATTCCCCTCCTTCAATCATTTGATCCATTTACCTTATTTAGCTTTTCTCTCTTTACTTTTTATTTTTATTTTTTCTTGCCTTAATTATCCTTTTTATTTTTTTACTAATTGTCATTGACAATCTCTTCCTTAATCACTCAAATCAGAAAGTATTTCTTCCTTTAAAGAAACGATTTTTAGCAGAAAATGTGGAGGTATGAATCTTTTTGGAGAATCTGTCCAAATTCAAGATCTCTCACAAAGTAAGATAAAAGCTTTGATACTATTCCATTTTTTCTTTCCTTTACATTGCTTCTTCTTTCTTGTGCCTATCTTGGTTATAAAAAGTCCGAATCTTTTCATGTGATTTTTTTTAAGTTTAAAGCTGCACACAATCTTTATTTGATTGGCACTCACTCTAACGGCTCTTTGCCTTTTAATTCAAGACCATATTTTGCAGAATCCTAATTTCTGTACTTCCCTTTTATAATTTGAACTCTAGTGTTGAGTTAGTCTTATAAATACATCAGTAGGATACTTATGGGGAGGACTACATTTTGATCACAGCTATTCCCTGCGATTATCATACATATTATTTACTAAGATTTATTACACCAGTTGCTCTTTAATTCTCGCTTTGCCGGCTGTAAGGCGAGGCAAAGTTTATTTCTTTTCATCCCTCTCGATATTTGGATTCTTTCATGTTCCTGCTATTCAAAGTTCATCGCTGGGATCGTTGGTTTATTTTTGCTGTCGAAGCTCTTTTCACGGGCTATTTATTTGGATTTCAGGTTTTCTTATTAATTTGGCACTTTGCAACAGGTTAGTTTCTTGTCATCCTAGTTTTAGTTTCCCTGTTGTGGTATTAGTTAAGTATAGAATAGTAGCTTTCATTATCCTTTCTTAGTTTCATGTGTGGTAGTTGTACATAGAGTAGTTTGTTTAAATGTTTAATGCTCGAGTACTACAAACAGTCATCTTGGAAGCGCCCAGGTACATCCCTCAAACTCTTTGTGTGTTGTGATTCTTTGAATTACATGTGACTTTTCACGCACTGGAAATTGTATGCATAAATTTGTTTAATTTCGGATCATCTAGTTATCGTATTTGGGATTAAAAGATTGCATCAATGAAAGTGATACCACCCGATTTGTTAATACTCCATACTTAACTTTTTCCTAAAGAATCATGAACAATATCCGTATGTTTTTAAGATTTCTACTGTGAATGCATTAACACATAGAAGAATGCTTTAGTATATTAACTAATTTGTCTTTCATAAAAAAAGAGAGGATAATATGACTGTTACATACGTATGAACACTTTGTAGTAAGAGTGGTTATGTGCTAATTGCTATTTGTTTGGTTCATTACTTGTCCTCATGTTTTGGCATGCTTAAATAATTTACTTGTTATCTTTTAAAATCGTTGGATACATGTCTATATGGACTAATTAATAAAAAAAAAATCAGATTTCCTATGTGCTATCTATATGTTAAGAGAATTGGTCAAGTTTTAATCCTAAATAGCAATGTAGACAGTTTAAAGCATCTTTTTTAATTTTCTAAAATTTACTGCCTAAATTTACAAGTATTATTTTAGTCGATTTGGGGCTCTATTCTAGTGATGAAACTATTTTGCAAGTACTCGAGTCTATTTTAAACTATTCGCAAGAATTGGAACATATTTCTAGCTCTGAAATCATTTCTTTCCTATAAGCACTTTAGCACTATTTTGCTATATTTTAAATCTGAAATTTCTTTACAAGCGCCTTGGTTCAAATACACCAACGAAAAATCGAGATGAATTTTGCAAGTATTTTTGGTCATTCAATCATATCATTTACTTAATTGTTTCCTATCAGCACGTTTATCCCACTTGGCTTTACAAACTTTTGATGAGTAATCTGTTCTTAGTTATTTATTGGTCATTAAAAGATTTAAATTACCTTTATAAATATTCTTCCATGCTTATTATTTAAATACGTCTTTTTACCATACTTATTCTCAATGATATTTGCTTCAACGTATCTAATCATTGAGTATTACATCAAATAACTTTGTTTATCTTAAGATTTATTTATTTTCACCACCCTAACTAATTGCTTAATTAATTCGGAGGCCAACATGAGCCCTTACTTGCCTTATTTGTCATTTGTTTAAGTCCTAATGCGCTCCCTCTTATGTGACGCTAATAAGAATAGAAATAGAAACTTGAGATCTTCTTTATGTCTAGAACAAACCCTTTAGAATAGTGTCCAAAGCCTCCTGGACTATAGGAAGGGACGGGTAGTTTTGAATTAAGACGCGATTTAGAATTAAATAGTGCGCTCTTAAGTTAACAACTTAAAGATAGTAATGAGGGTAGCAGACATGATACACAAATTGCCCGAATAGCTATTGCACTTTTGGCTATAAAAGTCTTAGCAGACTTTGCACGGGAGTTGATCCATCAGGCTTAAAAATTTAGGTCCCCCTTTTATGTAATTAAGTAGGATTTCTACGATTACAATCCTTACATTTTTCCATGACTGGTTTTAATTAATTGCTTTTAAATTGATGTATATACTTGACCATTTAGGATTAATTTACAACTTAGCAATCTACATCCTAGTTTAATTCAATAATTCTACATTGTGTAAATTTAGCCGGGACCCACAGTTGTTGGCCTCGAAGAGTGTCTAACACCTTCTCTTTGAGGTAATTTGAGCCCTTACCCGATCTTTGGTGACTTTGACTAGTCAAATAGAGTTATCTACAAAATAGGTTTCCTAACGCACCTCAAACCCGTTAGGTGGCGACTCTCTCTTTTAATACCCATTTAAAAGAGTTGTCACATGTTGGACCTCTTTTCGCGGAAGAAGGAAAAAGAGGGCGCGACAGCATGGCGACTCTGCTGGGGATAATTTTAGGCTCTTACCATAACGAATTTTGCTTGTGTGGATTATTGGATTGCTTGTTTAACTTCTTTCATGTACCTCCCTTTCCCGTTCCTTTATTTTCTCAAATTGCTATATCATGAACCTCCGATCCTTGTCTCCTTTATTCGCTTCATTTAATTATGTTTTGCTTTTTTTGTGAACTGTGCTACCCTATTTCCTTTGTATTTTATTTTTTTCCCTTTTGCTTATTTTATTGCATTATTTAATACTGCCTTCATATGCTTTCACCATGTAAATTATTTGACCATATGTTATCATTTTTGCATAAGCATTTTTTCAACTCATGTTCTACTCGTGCTAAATATTAACATAGCGACATTTGATGAGTGTCCGCGCTCTTCTTATATATCACCCTTTAAATTTGGAAAGGCTTATTTGCGTTAAAACTAGTCGATCAGCGGTGCAGTCAACGGTTCTGTGTCTTTCCCTCTCAAGTTGTCCGCTTGAGGGTACCAGTCTAGACCTTCATAGTAATCTTACTCTCATTAAAATTGTGCATGCATCATGGTCAAACTTAGTGTGATGACCCGGCCGGTCGTCTTAAGAATTAACGCCACAATCCCCTATTAACTGCTTTCCCCAAGTTTATTCAGCTATTTTGAATTGTCGGGATGTTCGGTTCTGAGTTTCGGAGAGTTTTGGGACACTTAGTCCCTAAATGAGAGCTTAAGTGTTGGAAAAGTGACTGTAGTCGGAACAATGTGGAGACGGCCTCAGAACGGAAATCTGATGGTTCCATTAGCTCCGTTGGGTGATTTCGGGGTTAGGAGCGTGTTCGGATTATGTTTTGGAGGTCTGTAGCTAATTTAGGCTTAAAATATCGAAAGTTGAATTTTGGAAGTTTCCGGTTCGGTAGTAAGATTTTGATTTGAGGGCCGGAATGGAATTCCAAGAGTTGCAGTAGTTTTGTTGTGTCATTTGGGATGTGTATGCAAAATTTCAGGTCATTCGGACGTGTTTTGGTTGGGTTTTTTATCGAAAGCGGAATTCGGAAAATTTTAGAAACTTAGGCTTTAATCCGATGTGTTTTGGTAGTTTTGATGTTGTTTGAGGTAATTTGAAGATTTGTACAAGTTTGAATAAGGTTTTAGGATATGTTGATGCCTTTGATTGAGGTCCCGGGGACCTCGGGATGAATTCAGATAGTTAACGGAGGGAAATTTTGGAGTTGAAGTTGCTGTAGCAGCTGGTCTTCTGGCATTTTTGCATCTGCGGTTTGGGGACCGCAGATGCGGGGCCGCAGAAGCGGCTTTGTGTCAATTCCTCAGGAACTGCAGATGCGGTGAAGGGCTCGCAGAAGCGGAACTGCTCCTGCGGTTAGAGGTCCGCAAATGCTTAATGAAAGTCGCAGATGCGACGTTGTGTCCGCAGAAGCGGGACTGCAGATGCGGTCCCAGTGCCACAAATGCGGAAATCGCTGGGCAGAACATATAAATAGTTGCTTTCGCGAATTTGAGGGATTCTTTCATCATTGTATCCGGGTTTAAAGCTTTTGAGAGAGATGTTTGAGGAAAACAAAGGGGAATCGCTTGGAGGTAACATCCTTGACTTCATAACTCGTTTTTATGTGATTAAATGCCTAATTAGTGGTGAGAAATCTGGGGAAAATAGGTAACTAAGGCTTGAGTTTAAGAGGCCTTTAATTGAGGATTTGGGGGGGATGTCATTTGCACTCCGAAATCAGTGTTCTTATTATGTATAGACTCGTGAGAGTACGAGGTTTCTGAAAATGTAAATTTCACCCGATTCCGAGACGTGGGCCCCAGAGGGCATTTTGGCCATTTTATATAATTTCTCGTATTAGCTTAGAATTTAATTATAGAATTAGTTACTTGAAGTGTTATTTACATTATGCAATTAAATTGAATAGATTTGGGCTATTTGGAGTCGAGTACTCGTGGAAAAGACGTGGTGTTGGGTTGATTTACCTTGTGTGGGGGACCTTCACCTTAGAATTGGTATATTTGATAATTGAAATGTCTTGTACGTGAGATGGCGAGTGCGTACTTGTGCTAATTGTTAGAAATCCGATTTTCTTTAAGTACTTACTAGTATGTCTCCTTTCCTGTTTCTATTACTTGCATTTATTAAGCCTGTTGTTAGTTTAGGAAAGCATGTCTAAGTAACTTAATTGTTTCATTTGATTTAACCGCCTTACTTGAATTCTGTGCAGCATGCTAGGCTAGAATCACTTATTGCCTTAATATGAATTTTGTTATTTCTGTTTATCTTTCTACTGTTGTTGTGTATTTATTTTGGGACTATGGATGTGGGATTCCGGTAGCTCCCCCTTGTCTGTTTACTTTGGGACTACGGGTTAGATTCCCGGTAGATCCCCCTGCACATTTATTTGGGACTACGGGTTAGATTCCCGGTAGACCCTCCTGCACAGTTATATGGAACTATGGGAATGCACCCGATAGATTCCCCCAGTACTGGGTATTTATATTTAGGACTACGGAACGAGATTCTAGTAGATCCCCGCGCAGTATGAGTTACACTACGGGACGGGATCCCGGAAGATCCTTCAGACATATATATGATGGACTACGAGACGGTATCCTGGGAGATTCACTGGATATGTAAAGATGTGACTACATGATAGTATTCTGGGAGATCCTCGATTGTTACTATTGGTGCTGAGCTATATTTCCTTTCCATGTTTACCGTGTTCTGTATAATTGTTGTTGTTCATCCTGTGTTATTTTATTGCCATACTTATTCATACCGTTTTTCCTATACTGTTGACCTTTATATTTGTTTAACCTCAGTAGGGCCCTAACCTTTCTCGTCACTACTCAACCGAGGTTAGGCTTGGCACTTACTGAGTACCGCTGTGGTGTACTTATGCCCCTTCTGCACATGTTTTTCATGTGCAGATCCAGGTACCGCTGATCAAGCCTACTATCCTTGAGGGAGGCGGATGTTCTAGAGATTTCGAGGTACATCTGCCGCGTCCGCAGACCGAGCAGTCCCTTTCTATTCCTTCTTTTAGTATTAGCCCTTTTGTACTTTCTGTTCTTATTAGACAAATTCTGGAGTTAGAGCTATGTAGTATTTCCTTATCTTAGCTTGTGATTCGTGGGTTTTCGGGTCATAAATTTAGATATTGGTTTTGAGATCTATATAATTATGGTGTATGCTGAGCGGCACATTTAACACTGTTATTGCCTTATTTTTGTTTTAAAATTGTTTTACTTCTGCAAGTTTTGGTTATCTTCCGCAAGTTTTGGTTATCTTTCGCAAGTTTAGGGTTACCTAGTCGTAGAGATTAGGTGCTGTCACGATGGTTCACGGAGCGACATCACAATTTTAAACTTTTGTCTTCTATTCTCTCACAGACGGTGAGGACACATGCTACCCGAGACGATCAAGCACCTGTGCCCCCTATTGCAGCCGTTAGAGGCCGGGGCCGGGGTAGAGGTCGAGGACGCGCCCGTGGTGCAGCCAGAGCACATGCGTGAGGTACCACCAGTGGATCCAGCCGGAGTCCAAGCACCTGACACTCCTGCTACTGCTACCACTCCAGCTCTTCAGGAGACTTTGACACAGTTCATGAGCATGTACACCACCTTGGCTCAGGCAGGGTTGCTTCCCCTTGCTGCAGCTACGTCTCAGGCCGGAGGAGGAGCACACACTCCCGCCGCTCATACTCATGAGCAGTGAGTGATTGTTGAGCAGGTCCTTGAGATTATTCCTGTGCCACCTACAGTGCCAGTTTAGCTCGAGTACAGGACAGCAACTTCCGAGGATAAGCAGTTGAGGCTTGAGAGGTTCAATATGTACAAGCCCCCTGTATTTAGTGGTCTCGCGTCGGAGGATACTCTGGGATTTCTTGATTAGTGTTACCGCATTCTCCGTACCATGGGTATCTTAGGTTCGATCGGGGTTTCTTTCACTACCTTCCAGCTTCGAGGAGCCGCCTATGAGTGGTGGCGCACCTATGAGTTAGACAGTCCAGATGAGGCTGCTTCACTGACTTGAACTCAGTTTCCAGATTTGTTCTTGAGAGAGTATGTTCCTCAGAGCCTTAGGGACGCATGTTGCACAGAGTTTGAGCATTTGCGCTAGGGTGCTATGATTGTCTCAGAGTATGTTGTCCGTTACACCAATTTGGCTAGGAATGTGCCAACCTTGGTTTCTACTGTCCGCGAGAGGGTTCACTAGTATATTAAAGGCCTTATTCCCAGCATCAAATCTAGCATGGCTTATGAGTTGGAGATGGATATATCTTATCAGCAGGTGGTGAGCATTGCTAGGAGGATTGAGGGTATGCATGTTAGGGAGAGAGATGATAGGGAGGCCAAGAGGACTCAAGAGTCGGGCCATTATTCTGGTGCCCGTACCCCAGCTGCAGGTCATCATGGTAGGGGTTATAGGAGTCTCCCTGTTCATTCAGCTCTTCTAGCAGCCAGTAGTGCTCCAGCTCCTCCTAGACCTCAGGAGCCTTATTATACACTACCGGTTTCTAGCGCGCCTCCTACGCGGGGTGCTTTCAGAGGTCAGTCCAGTAGACCTGGCCCTATCCAGTCACAGTCGCCATATCCTCCTAGAGCTTGTTTTGAGTATGGTGACACATGGCATATGGTGAGGGATTGCCCCAGACTTGGGAGGGGTGCACCTTCACAGACTTCTCAGCCACAGCGTGCCCCGCAGAGTTCTTAGGCTATGGTTACAGCTCCAATTGCTACCCCACCTGCTCAGCCAGCTAGAGGTGGAGGTAGGGGAGGTAGAAGTCGCCCTAGAGGGGGAGTCCAGACCAGATACTATGCCTTTCCTGCCCGTAACGAGGTTGTTGCCTCCGATTCTATCATCACAGGTATTATATTGGTTTGCCATATAGATGCATCAGTTCTATTCGATCCGGGCTCTACATACTCTTATGTGTCTTCTTATTTTGCTCCACATTTGGGTGTACCACGGAATTCTTTGATTTCCCCTATTTATGTTTCTACTCCTGCGAGAGATTCTCTTGTTGTGGACCGCTTTTATCGGTCATGTTTGGTTGCTCTTAGTGGTTTTGAGACCAGAGTCGATCTATGATTACTCAGATGGTTGATTTTGATATTATCTTGGGCATGGACTGGTTGTTGCCCCATTATGCTATTCTTGATTGTTACGCCAAAACTGTGACGCTGGCTATGCCAGGTGTACCGCGTGTTGAGCGGAGGGGTACTTTAGATCACACTCCCAGTAGAGTTATTTATTTTCTTAAAGCTTAGCGTATGGTTGAGAATGGGTGGGATGCGTGTTTAGCTTTTGTGAGAGATTTCAGTATTGATACCCCTTCAGTTGATTCAGTTCCAATAGTACGAGATTTTCCCGATGTATTTCCAGCTGACCTTCTAGGCATGTCGCTAATAGATCTATTGATTTTGGCATTGATCTGTTGTTGGGCGCTCAACCCATTTCTATCCATCTATATCGTATGGTTCCTCTTGAGTTGAAGGATCAGTTACAAGAATAGCTTGATAAGGGTTTTATTCGGCCTAGCATATCACCTTGGGGTGCTCCTGTCTTGTTTGTGAAGAAAAAGGATGGGTTTATGCGTATGTGTATTGATTATCACCAGTTGAACAAGGTTACAATGAAGAACCGTTATCCTTTGCCTCATATTGATGATCTGTTTGACCAGCTTTAGGGCGCACGGGTGTTTTCTAAGATTGATTTGCACTCAGGTTACCATCAGTTGAAGATTCTGGAGCCTGACATCAAGAAGACTGCTTTTAGGACTTGGTATGGTCATTACGAGTTCCTTGTCATGTCATTTGGGCTGACCAATGCCCCAGCAGCCTTTATGCATCTGATGCACAGTATGTTCTGGCCGTATCTTGCCTCGTTCGTCATTGTCTTTATTGATGATATTCTGGTGTATTCCCGGAGTCGGGCAGATCATGAGCAGCACCTGAGGACCGTGCTTCAGACTTTGAGAGAGAAGAAGCCAGTTTGTGAGATTGGATCTTTCGGAGCCCAGTCAGGTTCTAGCTTGTGTGGTTTCTCGGTCTTCCTTATTTGATTGTATCAGAGAGCGGCAGTATGATGTCCCTCATTTGCTTGTCCTCAAGGACAAGGTCCAGCACGGTGATGCAAGAGATGTGACTATTGGTGATGATGGGGTATTGAGAATGCAGGGTCGGATTTGTGTACCTAATGTTGAGGGGCTTCGGGAGTTGATTCTGGAGGAGGCCCATAGCTCGTGGTATTTCATTCATCCGGGTGCTGTGAAGATGTATCAGGATTTGAGGCAGCACTACTGGTGGAGGCGGATGAAGAAGGATATAGTTAGATTTGTAGCTCGATGCCTCAATTGTCAGCAGGTGAAGTGTGAGCACCAGAGACCGGGTGGGGTGATACAACAGATAGAGATTACGAAATGGAAGTGGGAGCGGATCACCATGGACTTTGTAGTTGGGCTCCCACGAACTTTGAGAAAGTTTGATGCTATTTGGATGATTGTGGATTGGCTAACCAAGTCCGCTCATTTTATTCCTGTGTGCACTACTTATTCCTTGGAGTGGCTGACGGAGATCTATATTCGGGAGATTGTTCATCTGCATGGTATTCTGGTTTCCATCATTTCAGATATAGGTACTCAGTTCACATCACGATTATGGAGAGTCGTTCAACATGAGTTGGGTACTTGGGTGGAGTTGAGTACAACATTTCACCCTTAGTCGGACGGACAGTCCGAGCACACTATTCAGATTCTTGATGATATGCTCTGTGCATGTGTGATTGAGTTTGGAGGGTCATGGGGTCAGTTCTTGCCATTGGTGGAGTTTTCTTATAACAACAACTATCAGTCCAGCATTCAGATGGCACCGTATGAGGCTTTATATGGGAGGCGGTGTAGATCCCCAGTGGGTTGGTTTGAGCCGGGTGAGGCTAGACTATTGGGCACAAACTTAGTTCAGGATACTTTGGAGAAGGTTAAGGTGATTTAGGATAGGCTCCGTACAGCCCAGTCCAAATAGAAGAGTTACGCGGACCGGAAGGTTTGTGATGTTTCCTATATGGTTCGAGAGCGGGTTCTGCTTCGGGTTTCATCTATGAAGGGCGTTATGAGATTCGGGAAGAAAGGGAAGTTGAGTCCGAGATTTATTGGCCCTTTTGAGATATTGAGGCATGTTGGGGAAGTTGCTTATGAGCTTGCCTTACCTCCCAGCTTGGCAAGAGTTCACCCGTTATTTCATGTTTCGATGCTCCGGAGGCATCACGGTGACTCGTCACTCGTGTTGGATTTCAGTTCAGTCCAGTTCGACAAGAATCTATCTTATATTGAGGAGCCAATGGCAATATTTGACAGGCAAGTTAGAAAGCTGAGGTCAAAGAACATTGCATTAGTGAAAGTTCAATGGCGGGGTCAGCCGGTCGAGGAGGCGACCTGGGAGACCGAGCAGGATATGCACAGCCGTTACCCTCATCTTTTCACTACTTTAGGTATGTATCTATGCTCGTTTGAGGACGAACAAATGTTTAAGTGTAGGAGGATGTGACGATCCGGCCGGTAGTCTTAAGAATTAACACCCCGATCACCTATTAACTATTTTCCCCAAGTTTATTCTGCTATTTTGAATTGTCGGGATATTCGATTCTGTGTTTCGGTGAGTTTTGGGACACTTAGTCCCTAAATGAGAGCTTAAGTGTTGGAAAAGAGATGTAGTCGGAACAATGTGGAGACGACCTCAGAACGGAAATCTGATGGTTTTGTTAGCTCCATTGGGTTGATTTCAGTGTTAGGAGCATGTTCGTATTGTGTTTTAGAGGTCTGTAGCTAATTTAGGCTTGAAATGCCGAAAGTTGAATTTTGGAAGTTTCCGGTTCGATAGTGAGATTTTGATCCGAGGGCCGGAATGGAATTCCGAGAGTTGCAATAGTTCTGTTGTGTCATTTGGGATGTGTGTGCAAAATTTCA